TTGCAATAGGTATAGTAGAGCAAAAGTTGAACTAACGGTTAAGGTACAACTCTGCAGTTATTCTCGTAAATCTTAAGTTGCATTGACCGCGCTTAAAGTTAAAGTGGGTAAGTAGAAAATGGTTTAATTGCACTTGTGAATATGTAAAGAAATACATATACCTACTTAGAGTACAATGCTTAAAATTTAATGAAGTACAAAAAGCTAAACATTGAAAAAAAAAGCTTAAATGTCCCAGTAATTTGTTCTAATCACAATAGTGGAATGCTGATACACAGAAACTTCCCCAAAACCTTGACGCAAACTTAAGATAAATAATAAATAGCCGACTTCAAAATTTCGTGGAATTACATCTACGTATTTGCCAAATTTTATTCAAATCGATTACTGGAAAGTGCGCAATACCATTTACAATTCATCCAATAGAAATTTTTCCATCGAATATTTTCTTCAAATTTACATTTTTCAAAATTCAAATTTGGGACTGAAAGGACCAGGTTCACGTTAGTAAAACAGAAAATTTAAGGTCCATAACTTAATGAATATTTAGATATTAAGTAGACACTTACCCCAAAAAGGACCGAGTTATACTGAATTAAAGATACGTATTCATAGGTACATGATAAAGGCTGTAGTGGTTATAAACTTATTAAAATTGGCACATTATCTAGATTACTAATGATTATAAACTTAGTAAAGGAATCAAAATTAGACGCGATTGAATTTTAACCAATTCCGTACGCTGTCGTGATCGAGCAGGGAGTGACGTAGGAACGAAACAAAATCAAAAAGCGAGGCAAAAGAGCTATGGAACAATTCAAAATTTAAATTTACATACGAGTGGCCAGGAACCGGAGTAAGGCGATAAAAAGGTGGGATGACGACGTAAGGAGGTCACATCGTCACAGGACCAATACTAAGTTACCCACTTTCCAACAAAAAAAGACTCATCAATATCGATTGACAAATGTAACATACACAAAAAAATACAGTAGAATTGAGAATCTCCTCCTTTTGTTGAAGTCGATTAAAAATAGCTTCGGTTTTATTGTTTTTGAAAAATCTAAAGGCCTTTGCAATAAAAAAAAAAACAGGTGTTGGTTCAGATAGACGTGACATTTACCTCTTATGTAATAAGCTCAAGAAAGAAAACCTTCGAAATGTATGATGATTATAACATTTGATCCAAAGGTAACTTTCTTCGTGAGTCATGATTTAAAGTCAAGTTATGTAACTAATGTTCTACTAATCTCAAGAGTGAAAATAAAAATTATCAATATACTACGTTTTGTGTACATTTCGTGAAAGTTTAATAGCAATACCTCTCTCACTAATGGTGTAGGAAAACATCGTTATGAAATCTTGTTTTGTTTTAAATCATAAAGATCAGAGGGGCACTGTCACTACGCCTGTCACTCTGAGACATTAGTTGACAAATTCCATGTGCCTGCAATTTCACCAGCATCCTTACCCTTCAAAATCGGAACGTATTAATACTAACATTACCGCTTGGTGGCAGAAATAGGTAACAGGGCAGCACTTCCTTGAACGAACCCTTTCACAAGGAGCTCTACTGCTACTACTAAATAGTGTCAAAGAAAGCTTGTGTTAACTTGTGATGTACCCGATTCGCATTGGACTAACATAGCGAACCCCTGCCCAGCAGTGGAACGTACAATGGGTTGGTAATAACTACGATGATGATAACATTTTTAAACATAAAGATAATTGCATTGTTAAACTTCTTTTACCAAAGGCATTTACCACTTGTTCAACTTACGCGGTCAACCGTGAAATGACAGGTCCTTGTGGCATTGTCATCAATTTGACACACAGTAGACAATGGAACTGACCTCCGATTGTCATTTGACAGGTGAGTGGAAGTATCAAATATGCATTAAATACAGTTGGCATAAGGAAAAGTTTGCTCGGTAAGATTTGTCGTTTAGACATGATCACTGTTGCAGTAGAGCTTCTTGTGAAAGAGTTCGTCTAGGAACGTATTGCCAGCGTGCCTATTAGTGCCACTAAGTAGTAATATGAGCATTATTGCGTTCCCGTTTTGATACGAGACTTGTCAACTTTACGTCTCAAGGTGACGGGGCAGTGACAGTACTTCTCAAATGTTTGCGATTGAAACCCGTCACTAGATAATTAGCATTGGATTCTGCACGTCGGAAGAAAACTAGACAGCGGAGGATAAGGAGGGAATTCTAAAATAACAACAAATCACAGGGCGACCTTCCGGGTGACACTGAAAGCATACGTCTGTAGTAGCATCCCATAAAGGGAAGAAATGCTGGTGCCCATTTCTTCATCTGCGTATAATAAGTATTGCGAGTAGCCTACTCATCCCGTATTTTACTTGAAGGGTAATTAATCAAAAACTCTGAAACAAACACACGCACACTATTCAAAACATACACAAACACGCACGCTACGCAAACTACACACATTCTATAATCTGTAAATCATTCAATATTTTGTATCTGTTACTGTAAAAATTTTGCATCACTATATATTTTTGACGCGTAACCTCAATCTAACATAGTTACTGTACCATAAGGGCGGGAATTCCTACCATAAGTATTTTCATACTTAAAAGGGAGTCTCGAACCACTATTATATAATGATTGAGCTTCTGAATAAAACATTTTTTATTTTTTTATTCTTTATTTCTTACAAAAGGCTTAAATATGTATTTTCAGATCCCTTGCTTGAGAAATGATTGATTCTCCATACAAACTTTCATCCCTTATTTCACCCCCGTTAAGATTTATTTTTGTGATAAAAAGTAGCCTATGTCCTTCTCCTAGGTCCCTTCTATCTCTGTATATGGAAATTCATAAAATTTTGTTCAAGTTTGGGCTGTGAAGTCGTAACACAATTAATTTTGCATTTGTAATATAATAGTTTGGACGTTTTACATTTTAGGAAAATTCGTGGACTAATTATAATTAATTAATATTGTACACACAAAATATACCATTAACGAATTGCTACATTTAGAAAAAAATACAGTGTTTACAATAAACAAAAATTACACGAAGATAACCAAAAAAGAGAGAAAAATTATAAAGACTCAAGAAAAAAGTGTGTGGTTAAAGCTTCCAGCAAGATTCGGATAATGGATGTGCTGTAAGTACTCTGGGAATGCGTTTACAATTTTTTTGCCGTACCAGGTTCTAAAACTAACCACGGTCATTTTGCTCTCTTGCGAAGACTCTGCAGGGCGTATAACTATCTTTCCAAATCACATGATTTGGACATTGGTCACAGGTTGAACACTCATAATATAGAAGGTTGGCTAATAAAAAATAAAATGCATAATTACACTCAATTAATTTTTAAGCCAGAAATATTTTGTACGTTGTAATTTCCCTGTTTTTTTTTTATGTTACTAAGTGACCGGACGACCAAGTCGTATGTCTTGTGGTAAGTGACACGCCGGCCTATAACTGTTGCAGTACCACTCAGAACTTTAAATTCCAAAGATCTGAGGGCCAATTTCACCAGCACCCGTACCCTTCAAAACCGGAACGCATTAATGCTCACATTACTGCTTGGCGGCAGACATAGGCTGTACTTCAATGGGCGAACTTTTTCACAAAGAACGCTACTGCTACTAAGTTATATGTTAAATTTTATTTTTTTAAGTTTTTGAATTTACTACAGACTATTTATTTTGGATGTAGACTGATTAGTTATAGGGTTACATAACATCAAACAATAAATTACACAAATTTCTTAATATGTCATTTTATATTTTTATTATAACATGCAGTGATGTTTTTTAAATGTAGAAACACTTAGTTTTAGCCTATTACGTTCATTATTTATTTGATGTGTAGTGTTTTCTGTATGGGATATCCTGAATAAATATAAACAAATAAATAACAAGATATGGGAAACAACTTATTGTAATTTAAAAACAGTAAGACTAAGTAGTCACACACATACACGTCTAAATTTTATCCTTTCATCGCTGTTTACGATGTCTCAAGGTAGCTAAGTGGTCCTATTGCACGCCCTAACCACGAGGCATTAAGTGAAGATATAGAAGTAAAAAGCTATTGACCCCTAAGTCAAACTGTTTTTCAACGTAAATGCTTGAAATCTGACAATCTTAGTGCAACTTAATTCACAAAGCAACCTTCTCTAACGAAATTACATAATCACAATTACAATCCGGAAATGAATCTCATTTGCATAGTTTATTGCGAAAGCTCAGACATGTCTTTTGTACAAATACGTGCTCAATTGAGTTCGTCCCAGTAAAATATAACGTTTTATAATAACTTACGTTTTGTATGTATTGTTTTAAGTGAATATTGTTTCAACAGTATATTTTAAAGGTTGTACGAACATTGTTGATATGTAGGTATGGTCGATATATAAAGAGCTTCTGAAAGGTGACTTTTTGACCACTTTGTATCTTTAAACGTAAGAATTAAAAGTTATACATTGAAAAAGTGTTTAACGTGTAGGTAAATTTGGGACCACTTATCTACAAATATAAAAGTAAAGTGCAGAGCGATTAAACCACTTGTACATAATTAAAACTTTTTTATTTTTAGATTCGGATTATTCTAAAGCAAACTGGCATGAACAACTTTTCTAAGCGCTTCAGTACGAGTTAACGCCAAAGAACGGTTAATAATTTTATGGCCATATCATAGAGGCATGACTGGTCATGTGTTATACACAAGTCTGGATAAGAAACCTAGGACATACCAGGCGATCCCTGATCAATGAACCCCTTGATGAATAACGGTTAGAAGCACAATACTCCGACACCAAGACACACGAGCTTTCGACTTTCGCCTATTCACAGACACTTTTAGGATATTAGCTTCGATAAGAATGCAGTCTTTAAATCTAATTGTCGAAAAGAGTCAAAAGATCTCACAAGACGTGACGAATGAATAAAAATTCACACGTAAACGAAGCTAATTACACGCAAAAAGAATTTGAAATTTCAAAAACAGAAAGACATTCACCTCTCGTCGGTGCAGAGCGCGGACTGGCGCCCGCGCAAGCGGCGGAACCCGTTTCGTAGAAAAAAACACCTCTTCCCGCGTCCATCGCAGCCGTGGCGACCCTTTGCATATTTCCCTGGGCGCTATTTATCATTGCACCATTATCCAGGAATGGCTTTTCTTGTAACTTCTCTGGAACTAGTTGAGCGTGTGCATCGAGTTGATTGCCCGCGCCGGTGGCCTTCACCGCCGTGTTTGGGTTAGTTTGGCGCGAAATCTCTAACTGGCTTGCCTGATTTAACATACCATTCCGCGGCACGATAACTGGTATTCTACCGTAAACAGGTTTGGAGTATTTTTGTGTACTATCAATGAATCGGGGCTCTGGAGCGGGTGGGTTCGCGAAGGCGTTTACTTTCAGTATCTCGTTGGCCTGCTGCAGCAGTCTTCTTTGTATTTGTTCTATTTCTGTTTTGGAGGCCATCGAGTTTTGTGATAGCTCCGCTATAAGTTGGTTTACTGTGAATTGTGGCATTGTTGCTGCTAATATTTCTGGTTTCTCTGTTTCTATGTTAGGATTGTTGTCTAGCGAGATGTTTTTACTGGCATTTTTGTCGTCGCTGTTCTTAAGGGCTTTGACCTTCATTTCTATGATATCTGGAGGAGTAACAACTATTGCTGGGAGGTATTCTCTAAGGGCGTTGTTAGAGGATTCTTTAACTTTTTCTCGTTTCACTCTTCGCACTGTTCTACTAGCCATCACATTGTTCCTTAACTAATAACCTTTATTGCCACTCTCGTGGTTTGAGTTTCTTTTTCTTAATTAAAGGTGGTTGTACCGGAGATCTTAAAGAAAACGTACATTACAGTCTGTTTTACGATTAGGATTAAGCTTATAGTTTCTCGGAAATGTCTTGATTTTATAGTGATCGTTAAATTCGCCAAATAGGGTGCAATGATTTAATTCTTAGCTGGTTTAGTTACAGTGTTTTCACTGTTGTGCTGTTTCAAAAATTTCGTAATGAACTGTTGCACACAAAGGGCAGTGAGATTTATAACTGACATAGTTGCCCAAATTTGATTATGAACTCAAACATTAAGACACGCCTTTCATCCCTATATGAACTTCTAGGCATCAATCATTCGCCGGCAGTTTGCGTCACATACTTGACTTTAAAAAAATCATTATCTTACAACTAACGAACTAACGAAGTAAGTACAGGATGTCTAATAAACAGCGTGTATTTTATTCTTTACTGATTCCTGATTACACACCCAAACTTAGTTAAGTATCATAAAAAGAGAGTTCATTGAAGTCTTGAATTCTCATAATTTAAAATGACTTAATGAAGAAAGTAATTTTAAGTTTACTTCACTTCGGTTAAATGAATTTTCAAAGAGTTAGTTTTATTTTGGTTTACAAATAATAAGAATTTAGTTGGTTTCATTGCGAGTTATACAGGGTGTCCCGGGACGCGACGTCAAGCCGGAACGGGGTGATAGGCCAGGTCATAACTGTTATCAGAAAAATAAAAAATAAAATCTATGTCATGTATTTTAAAAATTATGACCATTTTGAAAAAAATCGAAAAATATACACCCTGTGACGCATTTTCACTTCCCGTTTCTACAAATTTCCACTTTATTTTAATTTTTTTATTATTTTGTAACCCTGAGTAATGCTCCTGTAGCTAGTCGTCTAAAATTTTGACACAACTGCTCTAATTTTGAAAAAAAAAATGACACATTATTCCCATATCAAAAGAGAAATTGAATTTTCGTTCAATTTCAACTCACTCTACCGAAAAAAAAATGTACTACACTGGTTGGGCAAGTAGCTTTAAAAGTTGGCGCATTTTAAGAGGATTCCAAAATGGTATTACACTTTATTTCTTAGATTATGGTCAAATAATTTTTTTTGTGAACAAAACCGGTTTTCAACTATTTTTTATTTCTTAATTTAAATTTATTTAGTGTACCCAATCCTTCGCTCGGAACGGTAACTATGACATAATTCTTAACGGTAACTATGAGAGAGACGGAGAGAGCTATTCTACGAAGTGTGAGTGAGATAGAGAGTGACGCCGCTAATGTGTGAGATTCATAATTCTAGTATGAGAGAGACGGAGAGAGCTTTTCTACGAAGTGTGAGTGAGATAGAGAGTGACGCCGCTAATTTAAATTAATGGCATCATTATTTTTTTCTTTGAGCTTAGGATAGTTCCATTAAATAAAAAATCTATTTAAGTAAAATTATGATTTTATTTAAATTACAGCAAATGTTCAAAATGCTTTCCTTCAGCTGCAATACACGCCCGACATCTTTTGAGAAATGATCGGGATATTAAACGGGCGAATCTTCCGTTATTAACAAATTCTCCTGCTTCTGCTATTCTCGCACGTAGCTCCGCCAAGTCTTCTATTGGTTTATGGTAAACTTTTTCTTTCATTGCTCCCCAGTAAAAGAAATCGAGTGGATTTAAATCTGGAGAACGGGCTGGCCACGAGATTGTGCCAGACCGTCCTATCCACCTGCCCGGGTATTCCTCATCGAGGTATGCTCTAACTGAGCGGGCATAATGCGCCGGGCAGCCATCTTGCAGGTACCACATATCTCTGTAAATGTTTAATGGTACGTCTTCCAGTAAATTTGGCAATTGATTTTGTAGAAAATCTAAATAAATTTCGCTATCCAAGTTCTCCGGCAACTCATAGGGCCCAATGATTTTCCCATTTAAAATCCCTGTCCACATGTTCACTTTAAAGCGGTATTGTGACCTGTCTCGTCTCATCAAATGTGGATTTGATGAGACGAGACAGTTCTACATGCCACTCGTGTAGGTTATGTAAGTTCATGTAACCATCTTTTTTAAATGTTGATTCATCAGACCATAAATTTTTTTGTAGGAATTGCGGATCTTCTCGGTGTCTCTCTAGCATTGTTTGGCAAAATGCAACTCTCGGTGAATAATCGCGCTCAAGTAATGACTGTACTCTCTGTACATGGAACGGGTGGAGTTTATTGTATTGTAAAATTCGGTGTGCTACACTTTTTGGCACTCCTGTAGTTGCTTCAATTCCACGTACCGAAGAACTCGGGTTTTCTTCCACTGCTTCCATTACGACGTCCTCGTAATGATGGAAACTTCTACTTTCACTATGCGCTTCGCTTGGGAATCGTCCCTCTGAGAGCAAACGGTGCACATTCGTAAAAACTCGATGATCGGGATGACGAGCAGCATTTGGGTACCTCTCACGATAAAGTCTAGCTGCAGCACTAGCATTGCATCTGCATTCCCCATAAATGAGGTGCATGTTGGCATATTCCTGTACGGTGTACACGGACATGATGTCACAACACAATCACAGTGGTCCAGAGGAAAGCAAAGGTCGTAAAAAAGAGAAACTAAACAGTCCAAATCCAAATCAAAAGCAATCGGGTCCAATAAACGAAGCAAAAGGTTGTTAGTACGAAATCAAGACGAACGAATACGGAAAGGTGCGCAGTAAACGAAGTAGCGTAACGTACTGTCGTTATTGTGAATTGTGCTCGCACTAGTCGAATAATATCTATCCGTCTTACACATTAGCGGCGTCACTCTCTATCTCACTCACACTTCGTAGAAAAGCTCTCTCCGTCTCTCTCATACTAGAATTATGAATCTCACACATTAGCGGCGTCACTCTCTATCTCACTCACACTTCGTAGAATAGCTCTCTCCGTCTCTCTCATAGTTACCGTTAAGAATTATGTCATAGTTACCGTTCCGAGCGAAGGATTGGGTACACTAAATAAATTTAAATTAAGAAATAAAAAATAGTTGAAAACCGGTTTTGTTCACAAAAAAAATTATTTGACCATAATCTAAGAAATAAAGTGTAATACCATTTTGGAATCCTCTTAAAATGCGCCAACTTTTAAAGCTACTTGCCCAACCAGTGTAGTACATTTTTTTTTCGGTAGAGTGAGTTGAAATTGAACGAAAATTCAATTTCTCTTTTGATATGGGAATAATGTGTCATTTTTTTTTCAAAATTAGAGCAGTTGTGTCAAAATTTTAGACGACTAGCTACAGGAGCATTACTCAGGGTTACAAAATAATAAAAAAATTAAAATAAAGTGGAAATTTGTAGAAACGGGAAGTGAAAATGCGTCACAGGGTGTATATTTTTCGATTTTTTTCAAAATGGTCATAATTTTTAAAATACATGACATAGATTTTATTTTTTATTTTTCTGATAACAGTTATGACCTGGCCTATCACCCCGTTCCGGCTTGACGTCGCGTCCCGGGACACCCTGTATGTAGTAATATATGAGTTATATGTATATGCCGAACGCATATACTAGACTGCCACGCAGAGGTTCCCGGTTCGATTCCCTGGTCGAGAGAAAAATTTGTATAGCCTGCATTTCTTTCTCTCGTGAGTGTAATTTGTGCTTGTCTATGTGTGTATCCATGGCACCCGCGATACAGAGTTTCCATAGCGCGGGGCTAAGATTGTGTGCGTTGTTATTATTATTTTCAGGTGCATCTTTAATTAGGCAAGTTTGAGCTGAATATTCTATATTTTGATTACTATTTATATGATACTTATTAGTAGATTTGGCACATTGACTAAGATAAGTTACTTACTAGCTTCAAACGCATCTTCGTTCACTTTCAGGGTTAAATGAAGTAAGATTAACTTATCACATGTGCTTATCAAAGAAACTATTCAGCAAATCTCATGCAAAACCGTTAAGCCATTACGATATGATTGAGCAACAGACACTTATACATATTTCTAAATTTTCGCACTTCGGTATAACATTAGTGGTATTACTGGCCTACCAAAAACGATTGTATGCCACATTAGGCTGGCATTTTAAGGCTGTTTAAATCTTGAATTTAGTTAATTGTCATCACATATTTATATACTTTAAAAAGGCATAACTTTTAACGAGCACACATGGCACCACTATCTATGTACAGGACAGAAATAATTTCCATAACTTTATTTAGGCCCCTATTTGACAAGTGGTCGACATAAGCTTGACAACTTGACAACAATATGACAAGTTGACACACTTTCTAATATTTCGTAACAACCGTTATATGCAAACTGAGTTTTTCTCAGACTTTTCCCATGCTTTGATCACATGATTTTTTTTCGCACAATTGGTAATATTAATGTAGGAAACTTTGACTAAATTATTATACTGAGATATGTTAGTTGGCAATTGAGTCAGTTTATAGGGCACTGAGAAGTTTGGATCCTACACGTGCTTAAATTTTTGAAGATGCTTATTTTGCACCATTGATGTTATAAGGCCACATCTGCAAAATTACGTTTCAAGAGAGAGGTATAAAGATTTTACGAAGGAAATTTGTCGATAACTTTTTATGCTTATATACATAGAAGAGTTATAAAATTTCACATACACATAATTTGCTTCATGTAGTTCGTATATTTTTAACCGATTTCAAAAAAAGGATGAGATTCTCAATTCGGCTGTATGTATGTTTTTTTGTATGTATGTTACGCGATACCGATTTTGATAATTCTTTTTTGTTGGAAAGAGGGTACCTCAGTCGTGGTCCCATTTAAATTTGGAGAAAATATTCCACCTCTGAGGGTGGCAAACTAGGGGATGAATCCAGTTTCGCGCACTTTCCAGTAACCGATTTCAATAAAACTTGGCAAAAGATGTAATTCTGTGGACTTTTGATGTCGGTTTTTTTAGTACTCTGTACTGTGATTATTATGAATTTCATTTGATACATGCATTTTT